AGCCTTGGAGACCCTGTGGGCAGTTCCACTCTGTCCTCTAGGGGCGCTGTGAGTTGACTGCATGGCAATGCCTGGGTCCTCATCTCTGCTTCTGCAGCCTCTGTTGGTCCAGAACCTCTGAGTGGCCCTTCTCTCTCCTCGTGTCTGCAGCGTTGGGAGCCTAGCCCTCTCTTCAGAATCTCCCCAGCATCTGATTGCTGCTTTCAGGCCTGGTTGAGCCACCACGGTCTTGCTCCTAATTGCAAAAGGCCCCTCCCATCCCTTGTCTCCCATGCAGTGTTTTCACACACAGCCTCTGTTACCTGGTTACTTAGTTACATGAGTCCTCTCCTCAGTCCAGGGCCTCTGGCCCCTGGCCCCCTCATCTCACCTGCTTGTCTTGCCTCATCCGCACCCCTCCGACTCCCTGGCTTCTGCTCTTCCTCCAGGGGTCTGTGCAGCTTCCTCCTCTATTCCTTCAGCTGTCTCCTCAAGTCACCTTCCCACAGAGCCCTTGCTGGCCATCCCGCTGCTAAAAGGACGCCCCCTAGCCGCACATGTTCTGGCATTTGACTACTATTCGAAAGGCCGGTGGTTCAAACCCACCAGCCACTCTGCGGAAGGAAGACTGGGCAATCCACTTCCGTAGTGATAACTGCCTCGGAAACCCTGGGAGGGGTCGCTATGAGTCAACGGTGAGAGTGAGAGTTTCTGCTTGAGGTTTGTCTTCATCGATCCCTGCTGTCTCGTGCTCTGTGCTCTGTACTTATTTCCTTTGTCTTTGCCAAGGAGTTAGCTCCACAGGGGTTGGATCTTTGTGTCCGTCATGGCGTGTCCCCAGTGTCTGTAGCGGTGCCTGGCATGTGGCCCACGCCCGGGCTGACAGCGCATGAGCAAACGGATGGGGCCCGAGCTGATGCCTGCACAGCAGCCCTGGTCCTGAGTGTGCCTTCAGGCAGGGCACCTTTGGGTCACAGGGTCTAGAAAGGTGGCCTTCAGAGAGCCAGTGGTCATGCTGCTGTGCTGGTGACGGGGAGGGTTGTTCTTGTATTGTGCCGTCGAGTTGGACCCGACTCATAGCGACCCCTCCTTGGGTTTCTGAGGCAATATCACTATGGAAGTAGATTGCCCAACCTTCCTTCCAAGGAGTGGCTGGTGGGTTTGAACTGCCAGCCTTCTGGTCAGCAGTCAAGTGCCTTAGGCACTACGCTACCAGAGCTCCTAGATGGTTTAAAGAGGGAGTCAGGGTGACCTTGGAAACCTTGGTCATGATCCTGACTTCTCAGCAGGGAGGAGGGCACTGCCCTGGGGCTTTCTGCGACATGGCTGTGCGATCCGTGGCTGCTCAGCTGGCTCCGTCACCCCGTAGAACCTTGCACGTGAGACCGAGTCTTATGTTTTTGGACATGGAGGAATACACGTGAAAGTCTTTGAGTCTTAGTAGTGCTATCATTCATTGTTTCAGTCGCTCATTCGCTCGTTCAGCTGCCTGGCGGAGCTCCTGCCCTGTGTGCCTCACGCGCCAAGCTTTAATGACATAACCTGGAGTTCGCGTGTGGTGTTCTCGGTCACGTGTGTGCTTGATTGACGCGCAGGTGGACAGGCACAGCCAGAGGATGTGTGTGGGCACTGGGGACCCAAGCAGAGGGAGTGAGTGTGTGGCTGGGGCTGCTCTGAGGGGCTGCCTGCAGGACCATTGGATGTAGGGGGAGCCTCTAGATGGAGCTTGACACTTTGTCCAATACCTGCTGTTCCAGCCAGAAAGCCTTGGCCCTCTCTGCCTTTCTACCTGATGGTACCACAGCAGGGGCGCCCAGGTGGTGACAGTCAAAGAAGGGGCTTTCTGCTGCTGTGTCCTGCCCAAAGACACTGGCTGTGTGTGTCGTCCCCCTCCTTAGGCGCAGAGCTGGTTTTCTGTCTGTACCCCCACCCCCACCCCGCCACCCCCACGTGCAGAGCGGCGTTCTGTCTGGAAAGACCGCCCTGTTCCAGGCTGCACAGCGCCCAGTCGCGCCTCTCACGCCCCTGCCCTGAGCAGCAGGCTGGCTTCTCTGAGGGCAGAGGTGCTGCCGAAGGAAGGCTTGCCCACGTCATGGGTCCTGGCGGTTTGCGCTGCACTCCCGTCCCACTGCTTGCCAGCTCTGTGACTTTAGTTGGGGTTCCAAGCCAGTGAATGCTTTATTCTTTTCAAGGCTAGTTTTATTTTGCTGGCAGGGTAGGACCTTTTGGGAAGGACCTGGGGTAATGATCGTGCCTCTTCTCCCTGGCTCTGAGCCCCTACCTCGCCATGACCCCGCCTGCCCCATTTGACAGGCGCATGTGGAGACCTGCTGGCGGTAGGTGACTTCAGGATTTCTACTGCTGAGCCTGGGAGGAAGGCTGCATGGGTGGCCAGCCCACCTTGGTCAGGTCCCTGGACATTCAGGTCCCTGGATTCATCTTGAATCCAGACCTTGGACAGCCCATCTCAGAGTGTGTGGATCTGCAGATGCGCTCAGCCATCTTAGGCAGCTCCTTCAGGAACAGTGGCTTCCTAACCTGCTTGATGTCAGAAGTGCTGGTGCTTTGGCCTTGAGCAGGCTGGCAGCATCCAGCACGTGCCAGGGAGGGATGCGAAATCTGGTGCAGTGATGGGCTGGGTGACTTCTTGGCTCCTTCAAGGATTTTCTTTTTGGCATTACTATTTTATGTGAAGTATTGTGAGTTTCGAGAATAGTGAAGCCACTGCCATCAAGTGACCCTGCAGGGCAGGGTAGAACTGCCTACCCGCTTTCCAGGGTTGTAAACCTTTAGGGAAGTGGACTGCCTCATCTTTCTCCTGTGGAGCCACTGGTGAGTTTGAACTGCTGACCTTTTGATTAGCAGCTATGTGCTTTAACCATGGTGCCACCAAGGCCTCTCCAGACCTTGAGGTGCTGTGGTATTCACCAAGTCCCATTTGGTGTTTCTCAGTATTGGGACACATGTGTGTTTTAATTTGGGAACCGTATGTTGTCTTATTTTAGGCTCTTGGGTGCCTTGTGTGTGAACGTTGAATCTTTTTCTCTTTCAATTTCAGACTCCTTTCAATTTTGGCATGAATCATAGGACATCCCCCTACCCCGCTGGGGATTACTGTCTTCTGTGCAGAAGTGAACGGAAGGACGCTTCATTCTCAGAGAGTGGGATCAAGACTGCGAGTAAACTGGCGCTCTCCATGGCTCCCAAGGGCAACAACGTGCTGCACCTGCCGCTGTGGGTGTGCCCAGACTGCCGGCGGACCGTGGAGAAGGAGGGCAGGCATGGTCTCGACCAGACCACGGTAAGTCAGTGGCAGAGAGCCTGCGCCTCCGCTCGGTGACGTGGACTGACCAGTAGAATCAATGCCTTCAGCTTTGCTTTTTTGGAACTCCCCTGCACCATTTCCTGGCCTCTGGCTCCATCCTCCGGGAGGTTCTTCCTGGTCTTCTGTGGCTCACTTGACGTAGGTGCTAGGGAATCTGCCCTCTGTGGCTGGACACCACTGTGTCAGCCAGCCGTGAGGGCCCACAGTGGGGGGTTGCTTTTCTTGGCTGGACTCAAGTTTATTGCCTCACATAGCACAGTGTCGTCAGGAGCAAGTAGGTATTCTGCGTGTTTAGTTCTAGTCAATCCGTGTGCTAGCAGCTCAGCTGAAAATCTTTCCCAGGTGCCGTTCTCAAGTTTGTTTTGTTTCTTTTTAACTTGATCCCAGGCCCTAGCTGAACAGCTGCTACCTCTGGGCCTTTGGTGAGACGACTACAGCCTTAATAGGACCTTTGCTACAGACCAAGTCTGTAGTGCCAGAAAGTCTTCCAGATCTATGACTTGGCTTCTGGGAGCCACCACATTCCAGAGCTCTCCCGTTCCCTTCATTTCGGCAGGGTGCCCTCTTTCCTCTGATGCCGTGTAGATGTGGCCAGTAGTGTCCAGCACACCGTGCTCCTGTTCTTTGTCCTGAGCTGGGACTGCTTGCTGCCTGAGTCCTGGGACACTTTGACCACATTTCTGCACTGCACGTGGGGGTTCCCATCTTTCCGGAGCCATCTCTGTTGCCTTGCTTTCTGGCAGCCAACCGCTAAGCCGACGACTTACGTTGTATTCCATAAGGCAACACCCTAATTCCAGCTGCCAGTTTCTATCATAGTTCAAGTAACACTGATTCATAGCTAAACCTTAAGATCTCATGGTTTATTAAAATAGCAGTGGATTTCTCACTCAGCTCCTCCCCACCTGCCTCCTTTCTCTGCTGCGTTCTCTGCCTTAGCTCTTACCGCTGGCACACCGTATTCCCTGTTCTTTGTGTGCGTCTTCATTCTTCACTGGATTATAAACTGTAGAAGGGCAGGCTTCTTTATTTGTTAACAGGAACAGCACCTGGTCTGGCACATCTTAAGCACTGAAACTGTTTAATGCGTAAGTGAAAGACATATATTAGGCACATGCTCAAAATATTTAATAAATGAATGGAATGAATGGTCAAAGAACTAGTGGACCGTGGAACCCCCTCATTAAAGTCTTAGAAAGGCCATGTAAAGGCCCCCTGCCAGCGAGTTGAGTCTGACAAACGGTATGAAGTATGAATCTAGGAAAATTGGAAGTTGTCAAAAATGAAATGGAACGCATAAAGATTGATATCCTAGGCATTAGTGAGCTGAAATGGACCTGTTTTGGCCATTTTTAATCAGACAACCATATGATCTACTGTGTTGGAAATGACAAATTGAAGAGGAATGGCATGGCATTCATCATCACAAAAGATGTTTCAAGATCTGTCTTGAAGTACAATGCTGTTAGTGATAGGATAATATCCATACACCTACAAGGAAGACCTGTTAATATGACTATTATTCAAATTTATGCACCAACCATCAAAGCAAAAGATGTGGAAATTGAAGATTTTTACCAACTACTGCAGTCTGAGATTGACCGAACCTGCAATCAAGATGTGTTGCTTATCACTGGTGACTGGAATGCAAAAGTTGGGAACAAAGAAGAATCACCGGTAGTTGGAAAATTTGGCCTTGGCGACAGAAATAACACTGGAGATCGCATGATGGAATTTTGCAAGAACAACGAGTTACTCATTGCAAACACCTTTTTTCGACAACACAGGCAGCAGCTATACACGTGGACTTCACCAGATGGAACATACAGGAATCACATTGACTGTGTGGCAAGAGGTGATGGAAAAACTCAATATCTTCAGCCAAAACTAGGCCAGGAGCTGATTGTGGAACAGACCATCAACTGCACTTATGCAAGTTCCGCTTGAAGTTGAAAACATTAAAACAAGTCCCCAAGAGCCATAATATGATCTTGAATATATCTTTCCTGAATTTAGAGACCTGAAGAATAGTTCTGATGCATTGAACACCAGTGAGTGAAAAACAAAAGAATTGTGAGATGACGTCAAGAACATCATCCATGAAGAAAGCAAGAGGTCATTAAAAAGACGAGAAAGCAAGAAAAGACCAAAATAGATGTCAGAAGAAGACTCTGAAACTTGCCCTTGAGCGAAGAGTAGCTAAAGCAAATTGAAGAAATGACAAGATAAAAGAGCTGAACAGATGATTTCAAAGAGCAGACAGAGCCAATTACTAAAATCAAATGTGCAAAGACCTGGAGTTAGAAAACTGAAAGGAAAGAACACGCTCGGTATTTCTCAAGCTGAAAGAACTGAGGAAAAAATGTAAGCCTCGAGTTGCAATATTGGAAGATTCTTTGGGCAAAATATTGAACGATGCAGGAAGTATCAAAAGAAGATGGAAGGAATACACAGAGTCATTGTACCAAAAAGAACTGGTTGGTCTTCATTTCAGGAGGTAGCATATGTTCAAGAACCAGTGGTATTGAGGGAAGAGATCAAAGCTGCGCTGAGGGAACTGGCGAGGAACAAGGCTCCCGGAATTGACGGAATACCCATTGAGATGTTTCAACATACGGATGCCCTGCTGGAGGCACTCATTTGGCTATGCCAAGAGATTTGGAAGACAGCTACCTGGCCAACTGACTGGAAGAGATGCATATTTGTACCCATTCCAAAGAAAGGTGATCCCACAGAATGTGGAAATTACTGAATGATATCATTAATATCACATGCAAGTAAAATCTTACTGAAGATAATTCAGAAATGGTTGCAGCAGTATATTGACAGAGAACTTCCAGAGGTCCAGGTTGGATTCAGAAGAGGATGTGGAACAAGGGATATCATTGCTCATGTCAGATGGATCTTGGCTCAAAGTAAAGAATACCAGAAAGATGTACACTTGTGTTTTATTGACTATGCAAAAGTATTTGATTGTGTGGATCATAACAAATTGTGGGTAACATTGAGAAGAATGGGAATTCCAGAACACTTAATTGTACTCATGAGGAACCTGTACATAGACCAGGAAGCTGTCGTTCAAACACAAAAAGGGAGCAC